TGTTTCTTCAAAGTGATGTTTTGTAACTATTGTGGCATTTACATTTCCACTTCTGATAGTTGTTTCTTGGGGAACATAATATTATAAATAGAGTTGAGTGCCAATTGTGATTGTTATATCCAAGTCGAGTGTGTTTCTACTTTCATCAGAACTTTTTGAATTAGATGGATGCATTTTATTTTTCTCAAGTGGTCGTTGAGGGAAGTAGCTGCCATGGCCAAGTTGTCCAACCATTCCTCAACAGAGGATTCTAATGAAGTGTCATCATCGTTGGAGACCCTATCAAGTGAATCGTTGTCAACCTTATCTCAATGCCGAGGTGGAGGTTGCGTTAGTTGTTTAGGAAGCAAAGGATGTAGGGTAAAACAAAGATGGTGAATTCTCTGAAAGACCATTTTCACAAGTGGTCCATGGGTGCATCATCAATTTTCACCCTTAGATGCATCTAAACTAGTAGACCATAAAACACCTTACCACACTGGATCTAAATTTTTGATTTTTTTACTGATTTTTTTTTTAAATTACCCAAAAAAAAACACGTGACAATAGACGCAGCTGCTACTGACACTCGGAACAGGCCGTTCTAAAATCAGAACGCGACGTTCCAAATGAACAAATAACACATAAATATTGGACCAGAACGGGCCGTTCCAGATGACAAAAAAACACATGACGAATGGAACGGAACGACCCATTCCAACATCAGAACGGCCCGTTCCGAATTCAAAAATGACACATCAATAATTAAATCAGAACGATCCGTTCTGAAAACGGAACGGCCCGTTCTAACTACAAATTTGAATGACTTCATTCGGTTTTTGACATAAAAGGCATTAATTCCGAGTGACTCTATTCGGTTTTGACCTAAAAGGCATCAATTCCGAATGACTCCATTCGGTTTTGACCTAAAAGGCATCAATTCTGAATGACTCCATTCGGTTTTGACTCGAAAGGCATCAATTCTGAATAACTCCATTCGGTTTTTGGACCTAAAAGGCATCAATTCCAAATGACTCCATTCGGTTTTGACCTAAAAGGCATCAATTCCGAATGACTCCATTCGGTTTTGACTCGAAAAATATAAGAAAGGAAAGAATAATGTACTAGTCGATGCTCTTTCTGTTAAGATAGACGAAGCAATTCCCAGCAAGGTTTTGAATATGAAAAATATAATACATATTGTTATTACTAATCTGTGTAGTAGTGTTTCAGATATGTATAAGAACAGGCAAAACAAAGCAAGGTCGAGCAAAACAAGGATCCAACAAATCAAGCCAAATAATAGAAGAATCATGGCTTGCGTATCAGACGATAATGAATACCAAATGAAGATACGCCAAGAACAATCCATAGCGCAATATAAGAAATCAGAAACAAAACAAAGCAAGACCAAGACAATGTTGGCTCAAGCACCAAATAAACATCAAACGAAGCTCAAAGGTCAACCACATATATTTAAGTCAACAAAAAAATCATCATTCGTTGGATAACACAAGACGAAACATTCTAGGCATCAATTCTGAATAACTCCATTCGGTTTTTGGACCTAAAAGGCATCAATTCCAAATGACTCCATTCGGTTTTGACCTAAAAGGCATCAATTCCGAATGACTCCATTCGGTTTTGACTCGAAAAACATCAATCCCGAATGACTCCATTCAGTTTTGACTCAAAAGGCATCAATTCCGAATGACTCCATTCGGTTTTGACTCGAAAAACATCAATCCCGAATGACTCCACCCCGTGGTTTTTAAGTTCAAAATATTTGAAACGTTATATTATTTAAATTCAAATTTTGAAGATTCATCTTCTTGTAATCGATTACAATGACTGGTAATCGATTACCAGAACACATTTTGTATTCAAAAATCAAACTTTGAAGTTTCCTTGCTATGGTAATCGATTACATCTGCTGGTAATCGATTACCAGAGAAATATTCTTATATTTGTTACGCAAACTTTTGATTATAGGAAACTTCTAATTTTCAGTCAAAAATATTTTTGTAAAATCTTTTTGAACACTTTTTTTGATTTCTTTTCAAACAACTTATTCTTAAATTCAAAAAGATTAAGTTTAGGTTTTCTTGAAATTCTAATTTTAATGGCCAAGTAAAATTTGCAATACTTTTAAAAGTTCATTTTACATATCAAGCTAAGTGGTCAAGACTTATCTAGATATTACTTGAAATTTTGTTCCTTGATCAACTTGCTTTATCTTGACCTTTTGTTTTCTATAATTGCTTTGGCATCATCAAAATCTTGTACATATATTCTTCCACAAAATGTACAACCTATGACAAAGAGTTATATGCCGTTATTAGAGCCTTCCAAGTTTGGGAACATTACTTAGTGACTAAGGAATTCATCATACATACCGATCATGAGTCACTTAAGTACATTAGGGGGCAAGGGAAACTAAACAAAAGGCATGTAAAGTGGGTTGAGTATCTAGAACAATTTCCTTATATTATCAAATATAAGAAAGGAAAGAATAATGTACTAGTCGATGCTCTTTCTGTTAAGATAGACGAAGCAATTCCCAGCAAGGTTTTGAATATGAAAAATATAATACATATTGTTATTACTAATCTGTGTAGTAGTGTTTCAGATATGTATAAGAACAGGCAAAACAAAGCAAGGTCGAGCAAAACAAGGATCCAACAAATCAAGCCAAATAATAGAAGAATCATGGCTTGCGTATCAGACGATAATGAATACCAAATGAAGATACGCCAAGAACAATCCATAGCGCAATATAAGAAATCAGAAACAAAACAAAGCAAGACCAAGACAATGTTGGCTCAAGCACCAAATAAACATCAAACGAAGCTCAAAGGTCAACCACATATATTTAAGTCAACAAAAAAATCATCATTCGTTGGATAACACAAGACGAAACATTCTAGACGGAATACAAGTTATTCATCCTCAAGACTGATCAGACGAGATGAAAAAGTCAAAGTCTAACCCTTAGAAGGAGACTCAATTTTACAGATGCAAGCGAAGCAAGATGAAAAGCTTCTACAGTCTACTAGTCACAACAAGGAAGATCATACATCATCTCCATTCATAAGAAAAGTGCATGGAGTTATCAAAGATATGAAAAGAAAGAAGAGAAATGCAAGAGCGCGAATTCACAAGTCAAAGCTGCGTGTGTCAGGGCAAGTACACCTACTTTTCAGAGAAAGGCAATGCCTCCTCAACTACAATGACGAAAAAAGGACAAACATACCTAGGTCATGATTGAATTCAGAAATAAAAGGAGACAAATTATGCAAAGGACTTCACGTAACACAGATTAAGCAAGCAAAGCATTTAATGCAAAATCAAACGCATTGAATGAAAAAGATCTGTGTAGCCATGAACGAACGTTTATCTACACCTTGACCTAAAAGGCATCAATTCCGAATGACTCCATTCGGTTTTGACTCGAAAAACATCAATCCCGAATGACTCCATTCAGTTTTGACTCAAAAGGCATCAATTCCGAATGACTCAAGTCGGTTTTGACTCAAAGGCATACAAAGATATCCCAATATCCAAGGTTCAATCGAACGACAAAAGTGGAGAAAGACACAATCGAATGAGGGTACACCACCCTATCACCATTCTTATATAACATGGGTGCATGGAGAGGTGGCTTCCTTCTGGTATCTATATATTGTCTCTTGATCAATTATGAATTTCCATCGTACCTAAATTTTTTTAACTTTTTATGAAGAGGAAGATCTGTATTCGGTAGGTCTTAAGCCATATCGAAACAATAGTGAGTCAAATATTGATTATCTCTTCTTGAGTAGAGCTTCAGCCAAGGTGGGCTTGTTTTATGTTTATGACTATTGGTTTCGAGACCTAGAGGTATGCTTACCCTTTGATGATTTCTCCATAGGATTATTATGGGTTCTGAACATGGTGCCAACCCAGCTGCATTCAAACAGTTAGGTAACCAAGTTAGCATTCAATAACCTTTATCATTGTCTGAATATAAGCCGACTTCCTCATTATTTTTGCATTTTTATTATTGTCGATCGAGTGAAAAAGTAAATTGAGTGACTTTGGCCTGAATATTTGAACAATGTCTCTTAGAAAATTTTACCTCTTCATATAAAAACCTTAAGACTAGATTTTTCAAGGTGATGATTAGGCTAAACGAAAGGCCTGTGATGAGGATGATTAAAGTTTATTACCCTTATATTGGATGCCCGTACCTAGGCGTTAGGATGAGTTTCCCAAAAAGGACTTTTCGATTGAGGAACAAGTCGACCTAGGCGTGCCATGAAAATGTCAACCTTGTCATAAATTTTGTAACAAAAAATGTTGATGGTACATTCTTGGTTGAATAGAGACTTAAGAGGGAAACCTTGTAAGACAAGAAATGTTGAAGTACATCCTTGATAGAGTGAAGACTTGAGAATGAAACCTTTTAATAAATTTTGCAACAAAAATGCCAATACTTGGTGTAGAGATTTGAGAGGGAAAACTTGTAATCAATTTTGCAACAAGAAACACAAAAGGTACATCCTTGACCGAGTAGAAGTTTAGGGGGAAAACCTTGTAATAAAGTTTACAATAAAAAACATTGAATATACATCCTTGATCAAGTGGAGATTTAAGAGGGAAACCTTGTAATAAAATTCACAACAAGAAACGTTGATGGTACTTCCTTTGTCGAGTGGAGATTTGGGAGGAAAACCTTATAATAAAATTTGTAAGAAGAAACATCGAAGATACGTCCTTAGCTAAATTGAAACTCGTGAGCAACAAGAAATGTCAAAAGTACATAATTGGCTAAGTGAAGGCTCGAGAGAGAAACCTAATAATAAAATTTACAACAAGAACACCAAAGGTACATTCTTAGCCAAACAAAGACTTAAGAGGGAAACCTTATAATAAAGTTTGCAACAATAAACGTCAAAGGCACATCATTGACCAAGTGAAGAATTGGGAGAAAAACCTTCTAATAAATTTTTGCAATTGACGTTGAAAGTACATCCTTAGTTGAGTGAGAATTTGGAAGGGAACCCTTGTAAAATTTTGTAATAAGTTAGCAAGGAATTGAAAATAAAGAAACTATGATGTGGCGGTTGCTTGAGTATACTTGCAACCTTTTCGTTAAATGTATTTGAGTGTCACATCAAAAACCTTATAATCCAAAACTCTTTCACGTTCTATTAGGATAAAAGATCGAGTGAGGAAAAGAATGTACATTACATGAATTTATACATCAACTATAATATATCTTCAAGTGGATGGAGTTCCATGTTTGGGATTGCTCTGCCCAAGAATTCTTCTAACTTGTAGGCTCCGTCCTTGAGGTTTTGTCGAACATGTAAAGGGTCGTCCCAGTTGTTGCAAGTTTTCCTTTTCTTTGCCAAAGAATTCTCTCTCTTTCTTTGGCTGTTAATGCCCCTTGAACCTCACTTGGCTATGACTCTCCACTAGCTCCTCCATTTGTATATATTTCTCAACTCTTCTTAATTCAATCATGTCCTGAGGGTTTTTTTTGTGCAGACTATCAACGAACTGTCCCTCTCTCAGCGCCATGTCCAATCGATCCATGGCCACTCCTGGATCTAAGCTCTTGATCTCCATAACAATCTTATTAAATCAATCCATGAAGGACCACAAAAACTATTTCCTTCCTCGTTGAAGATTGGCGAGAGTGAGCGATGTTACTTGATAAGATTTACTTGTGGAAAACTAAATGAGGAACATGGAGGCTAGGTCGCTAAAAGATTCCACTGATTTAGACGAGAGTTGGGTGAACAAGCTGAGGGCTCGACCCTTGAGGGATGTTAGGAAAATGCAGCTTAGGGAGGCTTCATCTTGGGTTGACAATGTAACTTGAGTAAGGTATGCATCTAGGTGTTCATTAGGGTTGGATGACGTGTCATATCTATCAAGTGAGAGACTCTTCAAGTTTTCTAGCAAGGGAGCTTTCATGACCCTCTGAGTGAAAGGGTGTTGATTGGGTCCCGTTGACATATCAAGGGATGAAGGTTGTGGAACTTGACTAGTACGTACAAACGTCCAAGAGGGAGCATGATAAGAGGATGCCTCTTAGTGGGTCTATTTGGATGGGTGCCACATTCGCTTCTAACTTCTTAGCTCTGCATTCTCACGCCTAAGAACCAAGAGTTCTTGGGAATTCTTTTCGCGCATCTGCTACATCACTATCATTTCTTCCCTCAACAGTCGAACAACGTTTGAGAGCTCAATCTCTTCCTTCACCTCCACGTGGTTCTCGTTAATCGTTGGTTGAGTCAAGTTAACATTCTTCTTTGTTAACACCATAACCCTTCTCTCCTATTGCAACATTCGAACCATGTACTCTTAGGTGCCTTCATTTATTAAAAGATAAATCTTCTCTTTTCTCTTTAGCAACTCCTTTAGTGTCTTTGGTTCCCATTTATTAAAAGATAAATCTTTGTGTCTTTGGTTCCCAAGGGAATCTAAGCATCTGAGGCAACCCATGGCTACTTGATAGCATCAATTTTCATCTACCTAAGGATCCATTTGATATAGATGACAAAATTTTAAACATTAAAAATGGGTTAAAAAAAGATACAATTGAGCCAAAATTATATAATGGTAAAACACATTAAATACTATCAAAACTAATAAACTTTGGGTATGTTTAGTTCTACATCAAACATGTCCATTATATAAAAATTCACATCCACTTAAAAATAACTATTAATAATTTCTTCATCAAATAAAATTAATACTAGAGTTTTAACAATTTAAATTTATAATTATACACTCAAAATTATTTTTAATAAAAAAATTATAAATAACATTTAATATAAAAATTAAATTTATATCTTTTGTCATACAAACAAAAATTATATTAGTTTAAACTCATTTATTCAATTCAATTTTACAAAATTCACAATAATTTTAAATCAATTATAATAACAGATATCTAAACAAACGTATTATATTTGGTTCAAGAACTTTTCAGCAAGGGACCAAGAAACATCAAAATTGATAAAAAAAAAAATTTCAGTACATATGTATTTTAGTACTGGTACTACATTACTATATGCAGAAAAAAAACTGTGGTCAGGTATAAAACTTATGAAGGTTCAACAAATACCAACAACAACCAAGCAACGGATACATTAATGGTGTGTCAGTTACATTACATATTACACTGTCATATATTTATACATTAAAAGGTAGGCTTTTCAGTCATGGTGGTGAACTCTAAATAGTAAATATAAAATTCTTAAAATGGAGCTGTATATGTTCGATATAGATTGCCCCTCTTCTGCTTATTCGCTGCAGTTTCACGCAACTGCAAGCAAACACAAACACCACACTTTATCATCGTATTACCCAAAAATCCATGCAATAATAAATACACATGCAGTTTGTAATTAGTAATAGTAATCATTCTTATAATAAAATAAAATAAAATAATAACATTAAAGTACTTAATCTAGATAGTATTAGTCTTAAAATTTAAATTTTGTGTATAAAAAAATATAATTATAATAAAAAATCTCATTAAAAATGATCTACTAAGTCCTCTACTAAAGATTTAAGGTTAGTTCAATATATTATTAAGTTTCAAATAATTTTTAAAGTGAGTTTTTTTATAGATTAATAATAATATCTTTTGATAAAAATAAAATCTTTTATAAATGATGTTTGAAAAAAAATAATTATATTGGTTTATATTTTAGAGATAAATATCTTAAAATAAATTGTAAAAGTGACTTTATAAAATAACTTTTTTAAGATCTAACGCGAGAGTTTTATTGACTTCTTAAATCTTCGGTTTATCATTGACAAAACTTGTTCATACTTTATAATAATAATATAATTATAAAAAATATAATAAGATAAAGTTGCAGATTCTTCATCAATCATGCCATTCGCTTGTCCGATGAAAGTGTGTACATATATACACATAACGCAGTTTGTTAATTAGTACTATCAGTAGTGTATATCTTAAATATATATATATATATATATATATATATATA